CGCCCCGCCGCGTCCGGGGCCAGGAGGGGGCTCCGGGGTCGGGCGGACCCGGAGACAGGCCACCCGGGTTGCCCGGGGCGCGAGCCGGAGCCCTCCCGCCCGCAGCTGGGAACGATTTCACGGGAATTGCACCTGATGGTGGGAACCTTTTCTTTCTTTCTTTCTTTTTTTTTTTTTTAACTATGGCTGTTTGGGGCACATTTTCAGCCGCAGACTTCCTCAGATTTAACTTGTGGCTTTATCTTTAGTATTCAGATACAGGTTCAGAGCACCGGCCCGGATTCAGACCGAGACTCTGGCCCCCAGGGTAACCGTTTGTGTTTTAGCCCTGGGGAAATGGAGGCATGCTCTAGCCAGAATCACCCAGTGTGGTTTTGGATTCGAAGTTAGAACTTTATACTCATACTTAGTTTGCTGATCCAGGCTACTTTCTATTTGGGAGGAAAAAATGAAAACGTTTTGAAGTTTTTTAGTGACAGGATGACCGTGGTAACATCCAGTCTCCTGCTGCACATTGGCGGTGGGTGGCTGCCTCCTTTTTGTTTGCTTTTTGGTGGGATGTCCTGGAATAAGATCCCCTTTCTTGTTCTTTCCTGGTAAATTCAAGTTCCTACACAGACTCTGATTCACAAAAACTGAGTTGTCAATTTAGACTTGTTTCCTTGCAGCTTATATGATGTTTTAATTTACCAAGTTGATAAATATGTTTATTTCCCACTTTTGCTGATCTCTTTCACTTGTCTTCCAGTCCTCTCTACGCTTTAAAGGACAGAGTTATATCTTTATCTTACATAGTCATTTCTGTTCTCTATGATTAATTTGTAATTGATTCTAAGTAAAGGGAGATGTCTTTCTTTTCTATTTGTTTGTTTGTTTATGGCTGGGGCCGCGTTTGAACCCGCCACCTCCCGTATATGGGACTGGGCCCTACTCCTTGAGCCACAGGTACCGATAGTCTTTCTTGTCTTTTGATAATATTTAAGTGAATGTAGCTTTTTCATTATTAAATATCCCATTAGCCTTAGCTTTAGTTCTCTTCCTTATCCCTTTTTAAGCATGTGGAATGTAGACTGAGGGAGAGGAAAGGGAGTGTGTGGTACTTCAGATATAGGTAATAAATGAACATGACCCACGACCAGAACATTAAGAGGCTGTAACAAAAAATTGCTTCAATATAATAACACATACTTAACCTTCCTTGCAAATTAGGGAACTTGTCAAGTTGATAGAAAAGCAAACTGGGGTAGAACCTCACAGAAATGAACCTGACAGTATGGTGAAATAGCAAAAGCAGAATTTAGGAAGAGATAATCTCTTTTATTACATTTATATAGCTCTCTTTCTGGATTGGATGTAAGAACATCTTGCTGGCTTAAAAGCTTAAAAAAAGTTATGTGTTTTTGGTTTTTCACTTAGTTCTCAATGAAGGTTTTAGCAGGAGCCCCAAATCTTGTACATTTAATAATTGAATATCATTTCATCTGCTCTTTCTCCAGATTGTCTCTCTTACTCAGTTGGTGACATCAGTAATTTTCCATAGCAGCCATTCATGAACTCCTGCAGACTGTCATAAGGATATGGGAACAGCACAAAGGGTGGTAAACACAGAAGAAGTAACATTTTTGTTTCTCTACCATTACATATCACACATAGATTTAGGAATTCTGAACCAGAGCACAAGATATGCAGGAAGGGTTAGAACACCACAGAGTTGAGGCCTCTACCTGCCATAATAATCATTGAAACCATTTAGTGAATGTCTTCTATTTACCAAGCACTGTAATTGTCATAGTGAACTGTAGAGGGGGCCAAAGATGGATACACAATTTAAGAAAGGAAGAAAACTGTATTAAAATTGTAATACTCAATACATTTGTTATCTTATAGGTTGTATCTTGTATATTTTGTAATTGCAGAAGTTAAATGTGACTTGAGTACTACAATTTTAATACAGTTTTTTTCCTTTCTTTTAGGAAGTCTCTGTATCTCTTCATTGAAAAGTGACCTTGGTTGAAAGATACAGTGTAGGTTTTAGAGTCTGACAGACCTTTAGAGACTGAGTCACAGTTTCTTATCTGTAATACCTATCTGCAGTGTAAGCTGTATGAAAATAGGGTCTTGTTCACCACCTACCCGTCTCCTAGAACAATGGTTAGTAGTAATAAATATTTTTTGAACGATGTATCAGGGTTATTGTGTTCCCTGGTAGGTACTACCGCTATCAATAGTAGCATGTGACTGAAATAATGAGGCTGAGTTTTCAGTGTGCCCTATAAACTGATTTTGACAACATGATCCTTTGAATATTATACATAGAATCACCTCTACTTCTTTTTGAAATTTAGGCTTTTTTTTTAAAATGGTTATCATTTGGCTCGGCGCCTATAGCTCAACCGGCTAAGGCGCCAGCCACATACACCTAAGGTGGCGGGTTCGAATCCCCAGCCTGTACTCGCCAAACAACAATGACGGCTGCAACCAAAAAATAGCCGGGCGTTGTGGCGGGCGCCTGTGGTCCTAGCTACTTGGGAGGTAGAGGCAGGAGACTCGCTTGAGCCCAGGAGTTGGAGGTTGCTGTGAGCTGTAATGCCACGGCACTCTACCCAGGAGGACAGCTTGAGGCTCTGTCTCAAAAAAAAAAAAAAATGGTTATCATTTATAATGAGGAGAGATCTCTATTCACCTCTTTTCAGTAGTCACAGTTAACTCCTCTAACATATGTTTGTACCTCTTCTAATTATATTTACACATTCCCGCTTTTTTAAGTGATTGTGATGTTTATTTTGTATTGTGTTTTTCTCTCAGCTAATGATGTGAATTGCTTTGGGAGATTAACTCTTTGGGAATTATTAAATAGCTTTTACAACAAAGATGAGTTTGAAAGCACCAATTCAGTTATCAAAAGTTAATTCATGGTGCCTGGCATGGTGGCTCCAGCTATTTTTTAAGAGACTGGATCTCTCTTTAATCCTAGCACTTTGGGAGGCTGAGGTATGTGGACTGCCTGAGTTCACGGGTTGGAGACCAGCCTGAGCCAGAGTCAGACCCAGACCTCGTCTCTAAAAAATAGTCAGGTGTTGTGGCAGGTGCCTGTAGTCCCAGCTACTTGGGAGGCTAAGGCAAGAGAATTGCTTGAGCCCAAGAGTTTGAGGTTGTTGTGAGCTATAACTCTGCCGCACTCTATTGAGGGTGACAAAGTGAGACAATGTCTCAAAAAAAAGTCTTATTCATGGAAAGGAAATCATTTCCGATTAGGACTATTTCCTTTTCTCCCCCCAGAACGTTGTGACTATTCCCACCCTTCTGTAGATACCAGTTAGTCTTCTAGCTAACATTTCTAAGGCTGTGAAACAACAGGTCATTTCCCTCTTGTGTTTGTGTTTCATTTGTAAATATTCTTAATTTGTGTGGCTTGAGGACAGGGTTAAAGTCCAAAACTAACTCGTTTCTTTTTTTTTTTTTTTTTTTAACTCTTGAAAATAGTATAGAAGCTGGGAGCACCAACAATGAAGTTTGGGTTCTGGCTCTGCCACTTTAAACTTTGAGAATTTACACAAGTTATATACCTCATTTTCCTCACCTGTGAAAAATGGGATAATTACTACTACTACTCATAATAGCTAATATTTATAGGATATTTATATACCGGGCACAATTCTAAGAATTTTATTTGTATTAACTCACTTAATCCTCACAATAACCCTATGAATTATTTAACTTGTAATACCTGTCTGCTATGTAAGCTATACGGAAGTATTACACCCATTTATAGGTGAGGAAACAGTCACAGAAATGCCAAGTAACTTGCTCAAGGTCCTCCAAGTCAGTGAAAGAGGCAGGATTTCGATTCAGGTCTCCATCATAGCGTTTTGTATTATTTTGTTTTTGAGACAGTCTCACTATGTTGCCCTGGGTAGAATGCTGTGGCATCCCAGCTCACAGCAACCTCAAACTCTTGGGGTTAAGCAATTCTCTTGCCTCAGCCTCTCAAGTAGCTAGAACTACAAGCACCTGCCACAACACCCAGATACTTTTTGTTGCAGTTGTTATTGTTGGTTAGCTGGCCCGGGCTGGGTTTGAACCCGCCAACTTCGGTGTTAAGTGGCTGGAACTGTAACCACTATGCTATGGGAACCCAGCCCATGGCATTGTTTTGAAGTCTAAATAAGACCTATGTAAATGGGCTCGGCGCCTATAGCTCAACCGGCTAAGACGCCAGCCACGTACACCTAAGGTGGCGGGTTTGAATCCCCAGCCCGGACCCTCCAAACAACAATGATGGCTGCAACCAAAAAATAGCTGGGCGTTGTGGCGGGCGCCTGTGGTCCCAGCTACTTGGGAGGTGGAGGCAGGAGACTTGCTTGAGCCCAGGAGTTAGTGCTTGAGCCCAGGAGTTGGAGGTTGTTGTGAGCTGTGATGCCACAGCACTCTACCCAGGGGGACAGCTTGAGGCGCTGTCTCCAAAAAAAAAAAAAAAAAAAAGACCTATGTAAATGGTTGTGACAGGCAGCATGTTAGTTACCACAGTTAGCTGTGAGTTTATAAAGCTTTTTGCATGCATTTTCTTACTTGATTATCATAAGAACAATCAAATGTGACCATCACCATCATACAGATAGGAAACTGAAGCCTCAGTTTCGTTAGTTGCCCAAAGTTATGCAGCATGTGTGGAGGCAATACTCTGGCTTTGCCCCTCTATACCTGGATTACTGTGTTGAATTGAGCCATCATGTTTTTGTTTTAGTTTGGTTTGGTTTGGTTTGGTTTTTAGAGACAGAGTCTC